CATCCAATTTCAGCCAATGGATTTAGCCTTCCCAATAGGTCTGTGGCACATACACTATATATATTAAACAAGGTTGTTTAGGGTTGACCCTTTTTGGGTAGGATTTGAATTCTGGTCTACGAATCATTGCGTGGTGTAACAACTGCTAGTACTACCGGTAGTATATATGCTACTGGTTATCAATTCGGTTCTTATTATTTAACTAGTCAATATCATGCTTAGGTGTTACATTCCTGTTTGTTATAGATGCTGTTTTGAATTCTGTGGTTGCTTTGAAATGTGAATAGCTGTATCTATTTCGTGATACATTTCATGGGACTGTTTAATGCACTTTTCACATTTTTAATCAATTTTTTTCTTTTTTGGTCCTCAGAGATGTCTTGTAATGAACATATAAATACCAGAATATTTTTCAAACCGTAAACTTTTAAAGATTTCCTCAAACTTGACTGGCAGTGTTACATGTAGTAACCCTGCTTGTGAGGTTGACTCTCCTGCCAATATTAGCATAGCAACTGTAGAACCCAAGTAAACTTTGTACTATGTTACGGTAACCATGCACCACACCCATAAACATAACAAACAAAAATTAAATCATTGCTATATTTATTTCATGAGATTTGCATGAATCATCAGCACAGATGCGTTTCTATGCAACGATCCTTTTATGACACGTAAGCAAAATATATACATAGAATTTTTTTTTGTGCATAATTAAACGTAATAGCACATCTAGCAACATGTGTTACAGTTTAAATAGACATATTAGTGACCCCAGGTTTGAGTAACCGTCTACATATAATGATTTGCTGTCTATATCTGTCAAAATTTTTTTAATAAATGTTTGTTTGTTTTTCAAACATTGGTTCTTTTGGTTGTTGGACAAAGACTTCTTATTACATAGTGTGAATGTTTGAACAAATTTATATATTGAATATGGTTTGAGTTTCCTGAAACTTTGCATGTATTAATTCACACCTGTATACACAGATATATCCCGTACTGGCTGTTTTGGGATTACGAAACTCAGTTGTATGTACATGTATTATTGATCAATTTTTACTTCCAAGTTGGCTGCCAGATCATGGGGGAAATTGCAAAATTATTATTTCCACAAAAACTAATTTAGGCTTCACACTCTTTTTATTTTGTCATATATTTTTGGTAGGTGAAGTTTTCAAAATTTCAAGTTTGTGTTTTATTTTCATTAATAAGCTGTGTTACATTTAACCGCTATGAATCTAATACCCATAATATGAACGTTATATGTTCAGTTTTTCATTTTTTGCTCAAAAATTGATTGTGTTCAATCATTCCAATTATTCATTCTGGCACTAAATGTACCCTAGTGGGCTGAGGTGGAGAATGTACAGTTGGATATGGTTTGTTCAAGGCCATTAGCGAGTGATACACTATCTATACGTATCAAATAAATCTTAAACATTGACCACTAGAGGGCTCCCTTTACATACTTACAGGTAGTCTGAAACATGAAACGTAAGACATGTTCAATATTCAACAGACAATGATGGTAGCTGGCAGACACCATGTTTTAGGGCAGGGTTAAATAATAGAGGATATTTCTGTTAGGTTAAATATATTGAAAAAAAAGAAATTAAACGTTTTGAATTAGTTGTCAAATGTGTGAATTGCTTTATTATGTCTCACTATTTGCTGATATTGAATTCATTGAAAATGTTTGTTTTTTTCACATACATATGCTGATATTCTATTTTTAGATTTTTCATCATTTTATTCAAACAATGAAGAATTGTGTGCTGTGCTAGTTGATTTGTTTGGCATATTTCTGTTATCTAGTTGATTTGTTTGACATATTTATATCGTCTAGTTGATTTATTCGACATATTTATATCGTCTAGTTGATTTATTTGACATATTTATTTTGTCCAGTTGATTTGTTTTACATATTTTTATCATTAATTAAAAAAAACAAAAAAACATCTGTGCTGGCTATAATTTGCATTAATTTGGGATTATCGCTTCATGTTTGTGTTTATGTAATCAGTGTGCCCTCCACTCTCCCTTGCAGAGTCTTCTTGACCTAGGGAGCCACAGAGAGCCGCAACTAGACTCTGCCACTAGCGACATTTTACACCAAAATTGTTGGTATTCCGCGTTTTTTAAAATTAATTTGTTTCTTATATCTGTTAAAAAAAATGTGTGTTATTTAAAATAAATATATCAAATATTTTTACATTCAGTGCTAAAATCTTTTCAAAATGTTAAAATAATGAAAAAGAAGATCCTGAGATAGAATGCTTCGCGGCTGCCCAGTTTTTGTTCATCTTCAATATGATATCACAACTGGTCGATGTTGGGAAAAAGATAGCGAACTACGAAATTGATAGGTAAAAAGGTGTTTATATAATTTTCTCAAACATAAAATGCTAGTGTGCATGATTTCAAAATAAATTTTATATATTTTATACGAGTTTCGCTCGCATAGCAACGGACCAATACATCTACTTCCTGCCACGTCGCTTGTCCCCCTCCCCCCAGGGATCGACATGAACGCACTCGTGGCAAAGCAAAAAGTAGGTCCAGTCATTAATATTTAAATTAGCTTGTGGCAAAGACTAGTGGGACGTTCCCTGGCGACTACCTAGCTTAGTGATAAAAGACCCATAGTCTCTGGATGGAGAATCTATGCCCTCTTAACATAAGTGATTTAGTTGGAGTCAAAATGGTATCCCCAAAAATCAGCTTTTTGACTGCTGGGGAGGTCGGTGTTCAGGAAAAAATTAATTGTGTGTGATAGTATAGGTGATTTTAAACCCAAACAAAAATGCTGTGGTCCCTGATTTCCTTTGTTTTTATATGTATTTTATTTATAGAATGTGAATTTCATTTTACCAAATTGCAGAATTTCAGTAAGAACTTTTTTCAAGATCTCTACATGTATATCAATATATGATTTTTTTGTTGTGTCAATGACCTGCCAGTGAATTAGTACAACTAGTTACGTTACAGCAAATCCACATGCGTCAGTGACACGACGTCATACCAGCGTAAAGGGTACACTGTGTTTAATCAACTAATGCTCGTCACCTTGTCGAACGAATACAATCACTGTACACATGTCAAGTTTTATGGATGTTTAGGCGAAAATTGGCCACTAGAGGGCGCACTTCACACATATTCAGATAAGTCTGAACATTCCATCATTGCATGTATTAAAGACAATATGATTGGAATGATATGATTTGTATGTGCAGAAATATGACAAGGAAATAAACAGAAGCCTATTTACAGATCCAACATATGATGGATTTTGATAAGATTGAATACAGTTTTCATTCTCGCAAGTCTAATTCAATTTCCAGCACACTATGACTGTAGCAATTAGCAATCACCTCTGATATGGCAGCGGATATTTTGCTCAGGATTTTAAATATTTTAAATTCTATGAATGAGTTGTATAAATTTTGTGTAAACCATTTTTTCTTCATGTATTGCACTTTGTTAAAGGGGAGCAGAGGTCTGGCTTTTGTCACTCCGTTTATGATATTTGAGATCTTTGAATGAATTCTGGCGATAAAAACAACTTGTATGCCCTCAATATCAAGTATAAAACAGGCTGTGAAGTAGACGACAAATGTCCACTTTGCCTGGCGTCATTTCACGTCTATAGGGCCAGTCACTGATGTCATCAGTGAACACTGATAATTGAACCCATTCATTCTAGTACGTCAATCTCATAGAAATGCTACTATGGAAGACCTTGTTAATGGACAATTTAAAAGTTTAAACATGGTGAGGTGTTGTGCGTATGAATGCCAAAACGATTCATGTTAAGTTTCTCGAAATCCCAAATGAAAAATTCACTGTGTGCTTTTGATCACATGTATACATATATTCTTTTTTTAGATGTTTTCATCAGATAATGTTTATTCAACATATTATTAATTAAACAATGAAGAATGTTTTCCTGTGTATTTTAACCAATTCTTTTGACATATTTGTTAATTGAATGGAATAACAAATCTGTGAGCTGGTTATAATCCAGAGGGTTCTTAATTCTAATAATTTAGGATTATCACTTCACGTGGGCGTTTATACAAAATTAATTTGTGTGTAATTAATTTACTAATACTCTCGGTAGTCATCTTGCCAATTGAGTACAACCACTGTACCCAATATAAGTTTTAGGTATGTTTAAGCAAAATCGGTCACTAGAGGGCTCCCTTTACATACTAATTTCTCTCTTGATAAAATATGCTGTAACATTTTATCTATCATGACAGTGCAATGTGACTATAGGTATTTGATGTACTGGGTTAATCTGTGACTTGGACTAGGTACTTTCGTGATGCTCATTCGTTAACCGATTTGTTTGACATATTTGTATTGTTAATTGTTTGAAAAAAGAACGTCTGAACTCGTTATCATCCAGAAGGGTCTAACTTCCATTAATTTGGGATTACTGCTTAACGTAGATGTTTATCTGATAATAATTTGTGTGTAATTGAATAATTCTTGTCAGCTTACGGAATGATTATACAGTACCCATATAGTAGTTTAAGGTATGTTTAGGTAAAAAAAAAGTTTTGTCTCAGTCCTGGAGAAAATTGAAAAAAAATGATGTGGTAACACGATTTAATTTTTTCTTGTATTAAGATTATTTAATACCATAACAACAAGATTTATATATATGTTTAATGTTTGAAATTTTTCTAATAATGCATTCAAAAACAATAAAAGTTGATTTGGATTAACTTCCTTTCTGAAACAGAAAACCACAATTTCCACACTCTACCACATGTGATACCATCCTGATGCTATAACCGAAGATAGATATCTTCGAGGGCTCTTAATATTCTTACATGTGTATTTCCACCAGTATTCCTACACATGTTTTTCACCCAGCATTCATACATGTATATTTCTACTTCAGTAATAATCTGTTTTTACACATATACATTGTGTAGTATAATCAGTGTTTGTTTTTTGTTACATTATATTTTCTTTTTCTTTTTCAGACATAATTACCAGGCCAATCATAAAACAATCAGTGCCTTCCCCAGTGGAAAGGATTTTAAATTCTAGAGCAGTATCAAATAGTATTAATATTGCAAATGAGGCAACCAATCAAGAGACAGTTACAATTTTACCTACAAGGTCATTGCAGGTGAGAATTGCATTCCTACGCTCTTTTACTTCTTTGCATATTAGCCAATCACAAAGCCTGTATTAGTTTTGTGGTCCATCACCACTCAGTCGATGGTCACTAACCTATTGTTCAGACGAATTAAGAGCAAATGTGCAGCCCTCTGCATGGTTTGTGCATGTGATCATTCATAACACATATCAATAAAATAATTTGAAAACAACTTATTTATTCGAGAAAGGGAGAATAAAATGTTAATCATACAAAAAACTAATACAGGTTTTGTTTACGTGCCTGCATGTTGTTTCTCTGTGTCTGTACATGTCTAATTTATGTTGAATCCAAATATTGTGTAAGCCTGTTTCCTTTGTACCTGCCCAACAAACCAGCCATTTATTCCTTAAGTAATCCTGTGTGGGTGAGTAATCTTGGGTGTTCTACATGTTTTATGCAGTGCTTAGCCCTTAAAATAATAATATTGAAAATAATAACTTTTATGTTTGATATAACTATCTGATTTGGAATTATTTCTGTGCACAGTTTCACGTATAAAAAGTTGTTCATCTCTGTTTGTCTGACATATTTTGAATAGCATTTCAAACATTGGATTAACTGCGAATCAGATTGTGTCTTATAAAACTATATGTGCAGAATCAAATTTTTGTTTTACTAAGGCAGCATCTGATTGGATATCATTCATTTCTGTCATAGAAAAACTTTCATATAATATATGTCAAATGTACTTCAGAGAAACCAAGTTTAAGAGAAATGTGGACAGATAAAACTAAATCTAAACTCTGTAATCATTGTGCTGGCAGATAAATTGGAATAACTGATCAAAATACTTATAGTTTCTAAAATTAGAATATTTTATCACTTTGAAACTGATATTGATATTTGCATGTATGTGTAATTTATTTGTTTTCATTGTTTTCAAATCCAATAAAGCGTTCTTAGATACTATTAGTTGTAGTTTCTTGTGTGTTTATTATACTCACAGTGTTGTTTTCCCTTCTTGTTATATGTGTAGTGTACATGTTACCTCCTTCCCTACCTCCTGATCCATCCAAATAAACCAGGGTACAGTATACCATGTAGTTCTTGAAGCGATTCTATATAATTATATATATTAAGTTTATATGCTTGTTTCAACATTCAAAAGCATTCTCTATGTTGCAGCTATCCTGTTGAACATTCCTTTTTGCATGCAAACCAATAAAAGGTTTAATTTCATTATCATGTTTATCATCATCTTTTATGCATATAAGCTTTATACTCAGTGTTGTGGATCTCATTATCATTTGTATACATGTTTATGCTAACTTGTAAATAAAGAATGTTACTATACTTTATTTTTGGTGGTTGCTTCCATTTTCTTTTCATTGGCTTGTCATCTCTTTGCTCACTCTGGTTCCATGGTTACTGACAATGTTTTATATTCTTCCATTCTTCACTTGTATATGGTTTAATTTCAAAGCAAGGTGGCTTGTTATATCATTGCACAAAGCATGATTACTGCATTTCAATTCATTTCATGATATGGCTTTCATAATATACATGAATTAATTGCCAATCAGTGTATAACTAATTATTTGGTTAAAAAATGCGAATATATTTTTATTTGTAACAGTAGTGTGTTATTTCCTATTCCAACATGATTGCAATTCTGGAGGAAATTTGAAAAAATCATCACAACTGTATTGTCAGAGATTTAGCTCATGATGTAGCACAGTAAGAAAAACATTTGTGATCAGCATAATAAAATTAATAAAAAACAGTCTTCCTCATCATGAACAATTTGGGTATTTGAAATGCATATCATGAGTTTGTGAATAGCATCTTGTTTGTTAATTTCAAATTGGCAGATTAAGGCATGATTTGTTCTTGTACATTTCATTCAGTTTTGGCTCAGTATATGCATGATATATTTTCATTAACTACATTCCATCATATAAATTATCAACAGCCATCTACAAATCATACATTTTATGTTTCAGGAGGGGAACAGAGACTTGGATACTCTTGTGTCCATGGTTACAAGCATGCACAATCTTAATGAGTTAAAACCATCACCATCCATTGCCATTCTACAATCACTGGTATCAAACAACGTAGCACAAAACTCCATCGTAACTTCTGATGTCACAAACTATGTTTCCATAGGAATAGTGGATGTTGAGCAAAGAGCACAAGCCAAAAATAAAACAAAAAAAAATAATGGATCACTAGAACAAACACTTTTCCAGACACATTCATATGCAACTGAAACTATCATTTACAAATCAATACCTTCTAGTTTTGCTTTTATTGAGTCAAGCGAGTCAAAACATTTTCAATCTTCGGTGCTAACAACCTACTCAGAACAATCTGTGAATCCCTATAGTGAATCAATACAAGCAATATCACCTACTGCCAATACCTTGTTAAATATGGGTAGACATACATCAAATATTTTAGGAGACCAAATGTCTCCAACTATAAGTCATCTATTACCATCCCTGTC